AAAACAATAATATAAATATCAATTAATGAAGATTGAAATGCCCTAATTTTATGTTTCTTAATTGCTCCTTTTTCCATATTTAAATAAAATATACTTAAAGTAAATAAAACAAATTATACTTACCTATCCTAGCCCATTTTTACACAGAGCTCGCCAAGACTACGCGCCCATTTCTTTTGCACTGACTACACGTTACGATACACCACTGCGTTCGACTGTGATTGGTCAATTTCTTACTCTTACTTTTTACTCCGTGTATTGTAGACGGGCCTTTATGCAAGAGTGTGTGTCTGGGCTCTTAAGGCCCGTCTACAATACACGGAGTAAGAAGTAAGAGTAAGAAATTGACCAATCACAGTCGATTATTCTTCTCACATTCGACTGTGATTGGTCAATTTCTCACTCTTACTTCTTACTCCGTGTATTGTAGACGACGCCTTAACCTGTCTTAACCAAATCGTTCAAGTTAGCTATTGGCCAACTTCAAGGTCCGTCTACAATACACGGAGTTAGAAGTAAGAGTAAGAAATTGACCAATCACAGTCGATTATTCTTCTCACATTCGACTGTGATTGGTCAACTTCTTACTCTTACTTCTTACTCCGTGTATTGTAGACGACGCCTCACCGATTATGACTCAAAATAGCTTAGAACCAGTGTTGCCAGTATTTTAAAAAATAATGTCGCCTAATTCATAGCTCGTGGTAGCCCAAATCGCCTAATTCATGGCTCTTGGTAGCCCAAATTATCTAAATTTCCTAGATTTTTTAGATTCTCTAAATTTCTTAGATTCCCTAGATTATTCAGATTTTCTAGGTTTTTAAGCCGTTATTCAAAGGCCGATTTTACCAACACGAGTTAATTTAATTGTTTGATTAAGGCTGCGGTCCACTTGACGTTACAAACGCTTCGAAGCGTTTGAGCGACCAATCAGAATAAAGAATTTTACGAATTGATTAATCAGACTTTAACCAACCTATAATTTATAAAAAATATAACAAATTTTTTCATAAATAAAAACAATTTTTTTTTCATTTAATTTTGTTCCTACCTTTAAATGTGGGAAGCTGTTCCCATTCTTTTTTATATTTCTTCTCATATTTTCCATATTTCCCCATTTTATTCTTTTCACTTGAGTTTCCGAAATTTCTTCAAAACAAAGGGACAGAAAGATTGCCGACTAGGGTTCCTTGAGTTCCTTATAAAAATTTTATTTTAAGTTGAGAGATAAAACAATGTTAATATAATTAAGTACTTACAAAAATTCTCCAATGCTCTCGAACCACGAACGTTAAATGGAATGCTTTCTAGGGTTAGGGCCCAGACACAAGCTTTTGCATAATGCATAATACATAGTGCATAAGTCCGGATCTACAATAGGTGTTTTAAGCCTTAAGCCGTAAGAAATTGACCAACTACAGTCAAATGTGAGGAGAATAATTGATTGTGATTCGTCCATTTCTTATGGCTTAAAGCTTAAAAATCTATTGTAGATCCGGGGTAATGGAATCAACCAATCGAAATTCTTCTTTTCCATGGAATAAGAGGAAAGGAAAGCTTCTGATTAGTTGATTCGCTTATGCACTATGCGTTATGCGTTATGCAAAAGCTTGTGTCTGGGCTCTTATGTTTCGATATTCACTGCCAGTACTGAAAATCTATAATAGACGTATACTATAGTACTATTACAGTACTGGCAGTGAATATCGGAAATTAGCTAGATGCTTTGCACTCTCACCAGGGGCTCTATTCTATCTAGAACACTAGGGCCGCGATCCGATTCATGCTCACAGTTCTATCAGTGCTTACGACATTAATGGTCGGTCCAAAACAAATAGCGTGCTGAAGTTTTTCTATTTTGGACCGGTCGTAAGCACAATTTATAAGTTAGAAAACGTAACCTGATGAAAGGCAAATGGAAAGCGTATGTATATATGGTTCGCATAATAGAAGAAATAATATCAAGAATATGAGTAAATATTAAATACTAGAAAAAGAAAAAATTAGGAATAGAGATTAAACGTAACGCACAATAAATACAATTAATAAAATATGGTTCACAAAATATGTATAATATGTCTCATATCCTATTTGTATCTATTAAGCATTTACACATTCATTTCCTTTAATTTTTTATTTCTAATATTTAATATTTATTCCTATATTTGGGAAGTTTTTTTCTATTATATGCAGGACTTATATTATAACCTAAAAAGATAGATATCTCACCTGACGACCCTAACGCAGCCGTCTTGTCGTGTTCAGCTTGCCCTTTCTTTCTGAAATGTTTGAAATCGTTATTTTTCCCGCATTTCTGACGTCACGTAATCATGACGCTCACGGTGCCTCACCTTTCATCTAGGGGCACTCTAAGCACCGTGAGCGCTATGTAACTATGACGTCACCGTGTTCACACTGGCGCTGCAAGCACGAAATTGACCAACTATAAGCAACCGTGAGCGCACTAATCACGCTATAAGCGTGAATCGGACCGCGGCCTATAAGTCTCCAAGTCAATTTCAAATTTCGATGGGTGCATTCAGAACGACAACGGTTGATTTAGCATTCAATGAGCTCTTTCATTTGATTGGTCCATATTTTAGGATCTAGCGAAATATACCAATCTGAAGAAAGAACTCATTGTGCCCTCCCGGCTCAGTGAATTGTTGTCGTTCTGAATACACTAGTATAAAATTATATTTTTTAAGATTGCCGTACTAAAAGCAATTTTGTACAAAATAAATGGAGATAGCCCAATTCGCCTATTATTATTATTATCGGTAGCCCAAAAAGTCGCAAATCGCAAATTTCAAATTTCAGTCGCAAATCGGTTTGAAGTAGCCCACTTTGCGATGAATCGCCCATACTGGCAACACTGCTTAGAACTTCTGACTTACGGCTTATTGTAGAAGGGCTGTCAAGGGCCTTTTACAATAAGCCATTGGTCATAAAGCAGAAGTCAGAAACTAAAAATTGACCAATCACAGTCGTCATTTTTTAACTTCTGACTTCTGATTTATAACTAATGGCTTATTGTAGAAGGTCTATCATACTTTCGTTGCGCCCGTTGCGGTCAAATCGTGGGGTCGATTCTGTATCTTAAAACAAGAGGTTTGTTGGCGTCGCATACTCCAACATGTTTCAACATGTTACCATATATAAGGTGAAACAATACGCAAAATGGCGGTAGTAATACTGGAAATAGCCAATCAAATATGTCCGAATATGCACTTTCCTACTGCGCATATATCAGATTGCTTCACCTTATATATTTTCACCATGCATGTTCCTACCATAGGCCGCGGTCCGATTCACGCTTATAGCGT